CACGCCCGGCTCCCGACCCCCGGCGCCAGGAGCCCCCAGCACCCAGGCAATGCCCTCCTGGCCCACTGCGGCATTCGCTACCTCCTCCTACCTTCACGATTCCACTCCCTCCTGGACCCTGTCTCCCTTTCAGGATGCTGTCGCCGCCTCCTCCTCCCCCACCACCACCACCTCGTCTTCCTCCTCTACCACCACCGCCACGCCAGAGACCAGCACCAGCCCCAAATTTCGTAAGTAAACACTGTGTTTGAACTCTGGTCTGCGACTGAGTTTCCTTTCCTTCCTCCCGCTGTCTTTTCCCTTCGCTGCCTGTCATCTAACACCGGCCCCCCCTCCCATCATCCCCATTCCAGGTTTGGAGCACTTTGTGCGATAGATAGTTAACTGGCCACAAGGGAGGAAACGGTGCCCGCCGGTTTGGGGTACATGTGTGGGGTGGGGGCGGCAGAAAGTGGACGGAGATTGCCAAGCCCCACGGGCCCTGCTTCAGTGGGTCCCGAATGGGAACACACCTAACTCCCTGCAAAGGGTTAACGCGAGAGCGCAGCCTCCACACTGCAGACCTGCTGGCCGGCTCTGGGCTCTGGCTCCTTTTGAGAGCCCGGGAGGAAGCGGGGGAAGAAGGAGGGTGGGCCTTCCCCAAGGCCATGAGCCCTTTCCCAGCCTTTAGGAAGGAAAGCAAAGCAAATGCAAACTGACCGACATGGACCACCAAGGGAAGTTATGTCCCTGTGGGGCGGTGGAGGGCGTGGGCTGATGATTTGATAGAGACGTTGGTGAAAAGAAGCCGGAGACACTCAGGGCAGCCCTGACCCGGGTTGGGATCAGGAAGGGTTAATTCGAAGCTACTGGGGGAGGTAGGGGAAGGGGGCGGTTCTCAGCAAAGGGCTAAGCTGGTCCCCGCCCCCTGCCCTCTCCCCCCCCACCCCCCCCCCCACCCCCTCCAGCCTGCCCATGGCCATTCCTAGCCTGGAAATTGATTCTGTGGCCACGGAGAGTGAGTGAACTAGGGGGCCATGTGAAGGGAGCCCTGCAGAGCTGCCGCCTCTAGGGTCCTGATGAAGGAGGGGGTGCTTCCAGCTCCACCAAGCATTTGCTTTCCTTCCTTTCCCAAAGGTGGGAAACCTAATCTCGCCTCCCTCTGTGCCTGGAAAATGTATACAGGTGGAATGGGACAGAGGTCTGTGCATTGGAGGATGACAGCATCCAACCCTTTGAAACAGGTCACACTTGGAATGTAGCATCTCCAACCTCTTGCTCAATTGCTGCCAGTATTGGCCAGTCTACCCAAAGCATGACAGCTTTCTGTGTATTCCTATAGGAGGTGTATATTTCTCTGTGTCTTTATGAATGTTTTAGGTGACTGATGGACAGCCCATCCCCAGTCCCCACCTTGTTCTTAGAGTGAGGGAATCGTAGGGAGCTTCCTCATCTGACTATTGATCAGGATCTGGGAACAGTTTGTATAACCTGTGAAGGTTATTTAGGACAAACTCCCGGTCTGCCAGTTCAGGTTCTGTGCAAGGCTGCTCTCCCGAAATTGCCTGGTTGTGCCGTCTTCATCGTGTATTTGGGTTTTGAGCCTTAACGTCTGGGGAAAAGGCAGAGTGCTCATCATTAGCTCTTCAATAGGGATACCTCGCTGGTTTCAGTCCGTTTCAGTCCTCGGGTAATTTCTCATTCCCCTGATCTGTGGTCTTTCTTACCCTGGGTGTTAATCCTTGAAAACTTTTTTTTTTTTTTAAATTTAGGAGTTATTTGTAAGTAAAAATGAGAGAAATCCCATATGCCATTCCTTACTCTGGAAAAAATTGGCTGGAAGATCAGCTGGGAGGAGGGAGAAGAAGGAAAGGAGGGAATCTGCCACAAACCAGAATGGCAGTGGAACCAGTAACTTGCCGCTTCTCTCTCTGGCTGAAGCAGTCATTTCTGAGGATGCGTTTTCTCAGGAGGCGTTCAGAGGCTCCTCTCCACAAATCTAGCCTGAGTTTTGTGAAGGGATAAAGGATGGGCAAGTGTAGGTGTGAACATCTGCAGTGGATTGAAAATATATGTGTCTGTTCTGAAAATCCCAGATTTTTAAATCTTTTCTCTTGATACAGCTGATAGGAATAATGGAGTATGGGTGTACTTCTCAACCTCCTCTATGGGGAGGGTGTGTGTGGAGGGGCGGGAGCACCCACACAGGGGGGAGGAGGGGGATAGAATGGGGAGGTATCTCATGTTCTTTTTCAATTGGTTTCCTTGTGATCCATTCGGAGGTTGTTGTTTTTTAAGCCCAAGGTAATTATTTCTATCCCTCCACACTCCTTTCCTACCTTCTGTAGAAGAGAATGGCAGACTGTTTAATAAGTAATGATTATTGACAGGGCTCTCAGCCCCGAGGAAAAGGGGAGGGGTCTGTTAATGGTGTCAGTGTTCACATAGACATATAAGCAGTATTTGTTTTATGTGTATCTGAAGTTCTGGTCTTTTTCTTTTTTAAACCTTTAATAAGTCAAATTAAGGCATAAAATGCAAGTATGCAAATCCAGCAGAAACTGACCTGGTTTGCATACATCAACAAGGGAAATTTGAATGAAAGGAAGATTATGTAGTTTCCATAAAAGATAAGCTTAAATACATAGGTTGTTTGGTAATTTAAAGAAAAAAAGTGTAGTTTAATTATTTTTTTGGTCCAAGGTTGCAGGATGATTAACAAACTGAAATAAAGATTTCATTTGAGGGATTTTCACCACTGCTTCTGTGGGCTGAAGAATGGCCTATCTGGTATTCACATTTTTCACTTGTTTCGATTATGTTACTAAAGTTCCCAGGAGAGAAATGCCCCTTTGGCCCAGCTCCTACTCCAGGGTTCAGTAGGCTTTTTCCTCTTCTTTTGTCTTTCTTTTCTTTTTTTTAAATGGAAGCCATGGACTGGATTGTAGCACCTGTGAACAGGAACGGTGATGCTCTGCTTTTTAAAACTAACCAGTGCTTAATGGCCAGGGTCTTTGCTCTTGACGTGGCCACCTCGAGGCTTACAGAATGGGTGTCTTTGTGTTCATCTGAGGTCAGTCAGAAGGATTCTCTGCATAAACGCAGCCCAGCTCTTTGGAGTAGAAGAGGCTGGCCCACTCCAGAATTAACTTGCTGGTGGATAATAGGATTTTTGCAAGCAGAAGCTATTTTGCTATGTGCAAGGCCCAGTTTAGAAATTGTTTCTCATGTTCTGAAGGATCAGAGATAAGGAAATGTTGAACCTGAAAGGCAGAGGGAGAAGAAGGGTTTGGAAATGGCTTCTCATCTTCCCACCTTTAGACCATGAACTGAACCAAAACTTTCCGCTGCTACTGGGATCGCTTGGGTTCCCAGTTAGTTGCCCAGGATTTGCCTTTCCTTCAGACATTTTAGAAAGAAGTATCATAAACATGTTGCCACTAGTGGATTATTTTACCAAGGGCATCTTTGAAGCATTTTGCATCTGAAAGTTTAGATTAGTTTACACATTTTTCAAGCCAAGGAGAGATTCACTACAGACAGTAGAGAAACAGTGATTTTGACTAGTGTGATTTTTACGTCACGTTGGGTTGTGTTTTCAGACTTGAAACATCTATGTAGAATGTTGTCAAAGCAAATGTGAATTGTTATTTTACTCAGCAAAATGCACGGATAGGTAAACGATCAGAGCCATTGGCGAAATTCAGCTACAAAAGACAAAGAGCCAGTTTTAATGGGTGATACTTTTGGAAGGTACATAGTAATTCCAATGAGTAAGATGGATCACAAATCTTGAACGGTGTACTTAGTGAAGAAGTGGATGTAAAATATATCATTGATGTTTAAACATGATATTGAGATCATTTTAATATAACCAAGTCTGTTTAAATAAAACTTTACCTCAGCATGTTTTGTAATGTTGAAGAGAGCCATAGATAACATGGACTGTTTTCCTCTCTCTTCCTTTTAAACATCTCTAGTCTTTCAATAAGAGTATTCTTGGTTGCTTTTATAAGCAGCCTGAGATATAATTTGTTTTAATAAACGTACTCTAATACATTGTCTTCTGTCTGCATGAATCGGGCCCTCGAAGGAATTTCAACATAGAAGGTACTGACCCCAATCATGCGTGGTAGCCAGAGTGAGAGGATTCAGAGCTCAAGATCAATATTTCTTATGAAATCCAATTGAGAGCTTTTTTTATGAGCACATGCTGCAACCTGAGTCTGTTTTGATTTCCTTTGGCCTTAATACAGGATTATGAGACTTCTCTGCTTTAATCAATCTTACTGTACATTGTACTCTTTAGACACTTACGTTGTACTTTATGGTCCAAATGGAGGAAAAGGGGGCGTGGTGGGGACAGAATTAGCAAGGCTGTTTTTAGGTTGGTCTCAGCGCCTGATGACTGTGGTGTAAGCCTTCCTTTTCAGTGCCTCATGGCTGAGATAAGGGATTGGCAGTGCTGTTGCTAATTGAGTGTCCTTTCTGCAGGTCTGATGTCTGAATCCAGCCACCTTTGTATTTCTCTGCTCGCCTTTTTAAACGCTCAGCATTGACCCATGAACTTGTCAGAAAGAAAGAGAAACAAGCACATGAACAAACATAGCTGGTTTGTGACAACCTCTCTTTGATACTAAAGAAAAAACGTTTCTCAATCCAGTCTGTACCATAAGCAAGAGTGCTGGTGCAGGGTCTGGACCCAGTGCCATCCTGGGCGGTCTCGTGTGTAGGGGAACAAGGTCTCTCTTCGCTCTGGAATGCTCTCCCTCTCCCACCCCTTCCCCCTCTCCACACCACAGTGAGGGGAAGGCTGATTTTCCTTCTGCTTATTTTGTAGGTCTTTCCTTATCCCCTCTCAGATCCAGTGCCAAACAGATCTCAATTTTCTATCTGGGATGTGGAAAATGGAACATGAAAGTTGGCCCTGAAATATACAAGAGCAAGGGAAGAGCCATACATCTCAGTCTGCAAAATGCATTTGAATTGCTTATGAATAGGACTGAAATTCATTCTTCTCCCTTTGAGTCTGTTTTTATCTTCAGACTTTTGTGTTTGGTGAGGCACAGCGCGGGTGCTGCGCTGACACATTCCACTGAGGTGTGGTGAGGTCCCAGGGATTTTGCTTGTCACAGGCAGGAAGGTTTCCTTTAGAGCAGGGGTCCTCAAACTACGGCCCGTGGGCCACATGCAAATACAAATATTGTATTTGTTCCCGTTTTGTTTTTTTACTTCAAAATAAGATACGTGC